AAAGTGTCGTACGCCGTCTTGTTGGCTTGAAGCCGGAGAAAAGCAGTTTATGGGCCCTGAGATAGTCCATCAGAATGCTGAAAAGTTGAAGGTGATTAGGGAAAGGATGTTAACAGCTCAGGATCGTCAAAAGAGTTATGCTGACAAGAAGAGACGACCGGTGACATTCGAAGTGGGAGATTCGGTTTTGCTTAAAGTCTCACCGTGGAAGGGACTTATAAGATTTGGGAAAAGAGGAAAGTTGAGTCCAAGGTTCATTGGATCGTTCAAAGTTCTTCAGAGGATTGGGAACCAAGCTTACAAGCTAGAACTACCAGAAGAACTAGAGGGTATTCATAACACATTCAATGTGTGTTATTTGAGGAAGTTCACGAGAGAAGTTCCCGACATAATTCCAATTTCAGAGTTAAGGATGGATGAGAATAAGAGGCTAATCGAAGAGCTTGAGGCGATTGTTGACCATAAGACGAAGAAGTTGCGATGCAAGATGGTCGACTTAGTGCTTGTGCTATGGAAACATTCGAATGGGCCAAATCTCACCTGAGAAACGTAGAGTAACATGATGAGTCGCTATCCGCATTTGTTTGCTGATGCATAATTTCGAGGACGGAATCATCCTAAGGGGGAGAGAATTGTAACGCCCGTGTTTCGAGGCTAAGCATTAATTCGATGATGTAATAGTCAAGGTCAACCATTGTAACCTATTTTAAAGTAATAAATATAAATTACTTGAATATTATGTGAATTATGTGATTTTATGTGATTATATACTTGTTTGTAAGGATATAATAAAAATAAGCAGCAAAAACAAAATGTTAGATAAACCCAATATCTATAAACAAAGTTGTAGTGGTCGTGACATGGATTCCAGAGATATAAAGAACGCCGAAATCTGAGTTATAACGAAGAAGTTATGACCTGTCGAAGTTTCGCGACAAAACTGACATGACACCAGGAATCGTAAAAAGTGAGTTTACGATAAAGTACTTTAGCCTTAGGGGTCTAAAGGAAAGTTGTAGAGTACGTCTCCACCTACGTGTGGATATAAAGAACGTCAAAAACGGAACTTGTATGCAAAAGTTATGACCTTTTGAAGATACAGCTGTCTGAGAGCATGACACGTGTCAGAAACCCTAATATGACTGGAATCACGACGTGAGGAGTCAAATGGTCACTTTTCAAGCCTAGAATGCAGCTTGCAAGTCGACGGAGTGATAGGTCAAAATCTCACGATGTGAGCATGGATTCTCACGACGTGAGGAGTCAAATGGTCACTTTTAAAGCCTAGAATGCAGCTGGCAAGTCTACGAAATGATAGGTCAAAAGCTCACGACGTAAGCATGGAGTCTCGCGGCGTGAGAGAGCCCAAAACTGCCAATAAATAGCAACTTCGACCATTTCATTCCTTACATCTTTCTTTCACTCTCTACTCTCCCTCTAGCCTTCCAAAACACCCCCGAAGCCTAGGAAACCTCCCTAGCACTAGAAGAAAGCCCCAGAGCGCCCGAAGGCTCCGAGAAAAAGAGTTTTTCAGTTTGAAACTCTGCCCGTACGGAGCCCGGTTTTCAAGAAAACTTCTCGGTCTCGTCAAAGAAGATTATTTTAAGAAGCGAAGTGCTGTCCGAATCACTCCTTATCAAGTGAGTGTATAGTCACTTTCATCTTACACATAGATATGAAGTATTTTATATAAATTATGTGCTATGTGTATAAATATATGTTGTCTGTTTACCTGAGATGTTTGCTGGATGAAAGATCTGAACCTCTTTCTTTTCAGATTTAAACTTCTTCATTCAGATCTAAACATTTTCTTCTAGATCTGAACTTTCTCCTTCAGATCTAGATTTTTCCTTCAGATCTAAACTTTTTCTTTTTAGATCTAAGACTTTTTCCTCAGATCTTGAAAGGTATATGTATTTTTGTCAGATCTAAACCTTTTCTTTCATATTTGGACTTTTTCCTTCAGATGTAGACTTTCTCACTGCAGATCTAAACCTGATATATGGATGATTTATACTTGAGATCTATGATGTATGAAAGATAAAAACTTCGTTTTCATATCTGAATTATATATGTGTTTTATATCTACAAATATGTTGGGTAAAACATGGGTAGATGAAATAGTTGGTGTGTGATGAAATAAAATGATGAGAGGCCTCGATGTTGACATTGATCCAGTCATCTAACGGAGTATGGACGACGACCACAAACTTTTCTAGGAAGTCAAGTGGAACGCTAGCAGGCTCGCAACCTGTAGGTGTTTGTGAACGATGTGTTCACCAGTGTACTCCATCTCCCCCATGGTTGTCTGACGGACACTTATGAATGAGGAATCCCCTTAGCAGTAGTGTCCATCCCGATGAAATTCCTTAGGATATGTCCCTTATAATAGATGCTTTAGGGACGTAAGGTGAGGATAACGGGAATGGGTAATCGGGTTTAATGATTATTGAAAATAATAAACTTATTTATTGTGGGTTGAAAACCTATATGCTCACCAGGCTCCCCAACCTGACTCACTCAGTTTCTTGTATTACAAGTAGTGGCAAAAGCATAGTTGGATGACTTGACAAGAGATTTATGGATTCTAGGCCAGTAGAAAATAAATGGAATGTTGTAAGTCCTATGTTGTTTTGAGGCCAATTTTGTTTTGTGGCCTATAATGTTTTGTTTATGCTTTTGGTCTGTATCGACGATGACATCCCGAATGTAATGAAAATACATTTCTTTAAGAAATGTTTTGATAAATTTTTATCATAGTTTGTTTTGGGAACAAATTCCACAACACTTTTCCTTGAAAGATTACTCTGATTTTATTATAAAAGCATAAACGAAATCGGTCTTTTGTGGCCTTAAAAATGGGGATGTCACATGCATGTATGATATTTGATATGTATACCAGGTGGGGCCTGATGATTATATTGTATGCTATTTATCTTTGTGATTCTTGCATTTGTTTATGTGTTTGTATGTATACCGGGCGGGTCCCGATGACTGACAGATATGTTCCCAGCGGGGCCCGATGACGAGCGGGGTCCATTATATGTTGATATGTATGGTATGTGGTATTTTGGGGAACTCGCTAAGCTTTGTGCTTACGTATTTATGGTTATGGTTTCAGGTACTTCCGGTTCGAAAGGGAAGGGCCCGACTTGATCGTAGCGCATCCACCCATATTTTCGCAACTTGATGATATTGGGATTGTACTCTGATAACTGTTTTATTATGATAAACTTTTGAATGTTTGGAAAAAGATAATTGATGTTTTTGGTTGAGTTAAAAATGAAATTTTTACCTTATAACTTTTGGGACGTTTCAGGATTAGTATGAAAAGTTCACTAAAGCTCTTATGGAAGATCACTTCAAATAATCAAAGGCAAATCATTCTTTGTTCATATTTATAACCAAAACCACTTATGTTCTTGATCTTATATATGTTGTTGATGTTTTGCTTCTGGGGAACGATGCAGACAAAATACAAGAGGTTAAAATTAACCTAGAAAATCGTTTTAGTATAAAAGACTTGGGCCCACTCAAATATTTTCTGGGAATCAAAGCTGCTAGATCTCCAGAAGGTTTTGTGATTAGTCAAAGAAAATACACACTAGATATTCTTGAAGATTGTGGACTTCAAGAATGTCGTCCTAGTACGTTTCCTATGGAGCAAAATCTTCGTCTTGTAAAAGAAGACTTCACTTCTGAAGTGTATGTTTCCAATTATAGATGTCTTGTTGGACGTCTCCTTTATCTCACTGTGACTAGACCTGACATATTGTTAAACGTTAATCAACTTAGTCAATTTCTAAGTTGAAATCGTCAGTCTCATATGGATGCAACTTTCTGTGTTCTTCATTACTTAAAAGCTACTCCGAGACAAGGCTTATTTTTACATGTTGATGGTAATTTAAATTTGGTTGCTTATTATGATGCTAGTTAGTTGAGCTTACATTTCACTTAACATTCGTGTACCAGATATTTTATTAGTCTTGGAGGTTCTCCGGTTTCTTTGAGGACTAAGAAACAAAGTGTAGTCTCCAGATCATCTGTCGAAGCAGAATATCGAGCCATGGCTAATACCATTTTGTGAAGTCATATGGCTTCGTTGGTTGCTTCGAGATTTGGGTGCCTGTCAACAATGTCCTACACCGCTGATGTGTGATAATGAAGTTGCTCGCCATATTGCTGATAGTCCCGTTTATGAACGAAACACGTCGAAATGGATTGCTATTTTGTTCGAGAAAGGGTCATAAGTGGTGAAATCAAACTCTTGCAATCAAAACAAAGAATCAGCCTGCGAATTTATTCACCAAAGCGTTGGGTGCAAAACAGTTCCAATACTTACGTAGCAAGTTGGGTGTTCGAGATCTTCACGGTCCAACTTGAGAGGGAGTGTTGAGCAGCATAATTTGTGTCCTTCTTTCCCAAGTTTCCCTCCTTTACAAGATTTTTACTTTCTATATTTTAGTATTAGGGTCTAATTATGAAACTTGTTTACTTTCCTTTTTCTAGAATAATGTTGGCTATATATGTCTGGTATATGCCATTTTTTTATCAATAAGAGCAAATTACTTTTTATTTCTTTTACATCTAAATTTCACATATAGCTGCTTATTAACCTAAATTAGACACTCCTACTCATTCTCCCCTTAACTTAGACACTTCTATTGATTCACCCTTCCAATTAGACACTCTTATCCCATTAAGTTACACTTAAGTGAGTAAAAATGAGAAGCAAAGAAGAGTGCACCCTTTAGTAAAATATGCTATATGGTATTTTTGTAAATTTATTGTAATGACTATATTTTAGTGAATAGGTCTATAATTATGGAATAAAAATGTCAATTACGTCAAAGTAATGGTGTGTATAATGAAAAATTCCTGCATCCTAGAAGTAACCAGCGGTTCAGATTAGATCCTCAAAATGACAGTGGTTAAGCAAATGCACAAACATTTGAAAATCCGAGGTCCCCAAGTCAAGTAGTCAATTAGCTTATCATGAGGGCGACCACTTCCTACCCAAATTTACAACACACTGTACTTCTTCCACTCTCTCTCATCACATCGTTGTTTTACTCTCTCTCTCTCTCTCTCTCTCTCTCTACACCAAACATATACATACAGATATATGAATATACATGCATTGTTAGTGAAATCAAAACCCTAGAACACATTGGATCGAGTTTGGAGAATCTATGAATCGGAATCTATGATCGGCATTATCAATCGACGGTTTGGTCGAAGCTAATCGGACTTGTTTTCGTAGCTTTTAACGGCGTTTGATCTCAGAGAGGGAGAGATGTATAAGAACCAGCTGCAAGAGCTGGCCCAGAGGAGCTGCTTTAATTTGCCGTCGTATACCTGCATAAGAGAAGGTCCAGATCACGCACCGCGGTTCAAGGCGGCTGTTAATTTTAACGGCGAGACGTATGAGAGCCCTAACTACTGCACGACTTTGAGGCAGGCGGAGCACTCTGCCGCGGAGGTGGCTCTTAATGAACTTGCGTGTCGAGGTCCTTCTAATTCTTTGGCTGCTAGGATACTGGTGAGTCTTCAACACTTTCTAGGGTTTGTAAGTTTTAAACTTTTGGATTTTTTTTTTCTTCAATTTCTATTTCTGAAATCGATGTTTCTAGTCATGATGACGGGAAGGTTTACATGTTTGAATTTATTCTCAATTTAGAAAGGAAAACTCAACTGCGAAGAGGAGTGTTGCTATCATTGTTTTTAAAAATTTTCTTGGGGGTTTCCTTTTTTAGTTGGCTTCCGATATGATAAACTCGCGATTTTAGATTTGGGCATCATCAAGTTGATTTTTGTTATATGAGAACCCGTCTTTCTCGACCACCATTGATTTTCTAATTTATGCGTGTTACAGAGGCCATATTAGCTGAACATGGGGAAAATGTTAGAAATGTAAAAGGCTATGTGGTGTGCATTTGGGGATTCATAGAGTATCATATGGCATTCGGTTTTCATGATTGATGTATATGACTGATGATTTTGAACATCAAATTAGGAACTTTTAATGTCAATCTAAGAACTTCAAAATCAAAATTTATCTGTTGCTACTCTCAACTTTTTCTGAACGAATACTCTTAGGCAAATCTATATGGAAAAAATCGATGGAAATGGCAAATGACATAATTGCCCTTTACTGATTTGTTGTTGCAGGATGAAACCGGGGTGTATAAGAATCTTTTGCAAGAGGTTTCTCAAAGGGTAGGGGCGTCATTACCAACATACACAACTTTTAGATCAGGCCTTGGTCATTTGCCTGTTTTCACCTGCACTGTAGAATTGGCTGGCTGTATATTTACAGGAGAACCAGCCAAAAACAAGAAACAAGCTGAAAAGAATGCTGCCATGTCAGCATGGTCTTCTCTAAAACTTTGTAAGTCATCCAATTTCTATTCTTAATTCTTAATATCATATGCATAATTACCTATTTAACCCTCTATATTTTATCCTCTTTCAGTAACACAGCAATCAGAAAGCTTGTCATTGCAAAAAGGAAACACAGAAGAGCAAGAGCATGTTATTGTGGCACGTGCTTTACAAAAATTCAGATTAAAAGCTAGAATGACTAATATACCCTTCCCAATCCGTTTTCCAGTTCCAAAACCAAAAACACACTCCACACAACCTCCTCCCTCCACAACTTCAAAAATCCTTCCCTTAATATGCCCCAAAATGGGTCAAACCCGTAGGAAAGACAATAACGCCCCTCAAAAGCAATTCGGAGTTCCCACCGCCAACGAACTGCCACCGCCACCGGACCACCGCGTGCACAAGTTTCCGGCGATCGGAGCCGCACCGTATATCCCTGTCCGGCACTTCCGGCCGACTCACTGTGGAATCGCGCCACCGGTGACTATCCGCAACACGATCCCGGTCTTCTCCGCTCCGCCACTTCCGCCGCCACGTATGGCCGGAGCACCGCCGCAGTTTGGGAGGCCGCCAGCTATGTGTGGCGGTGGAGGTGGAGCACCTCCGGTCACCATCCGACAGGCGGTTCCTGCGTTCTCGGGTTCTGAATCAAAGGAGAATGTTGGAGCTTCTGTTATGAAGCCGGTTGCCATGTCAGCATTAGTGACAGAAGATAAAGAGAGTAAAAGTAAATTAGGAGAGACTCCAACAGGAAATGAAGAGGCTAGTGTTAGCAAGTCGCTAGAGCCTGGATTTAAGGGGCTACAGATTTGAAGAAAAAAAAAAGGAATGTGTTTTAGGATTTTGTAGTGGTTATTTTTTTTTTTCGTTGGATATTTTGGGCCTACTTGTTTTTGTGTTAATTAAGCTGATTACAGTTCATATTTGGATCAATTAAAACAAGTGGTCAGCATCTTGTTCATTGACCAACGGGATATGTTAATGCTAATGCTTATCTGTACCTGTAATCATTAGAAATGTAAGCTACACATAATGTAGCTAGCGAGTAACCAAAATTAAATTTCTGGCTTCATAACACTACCCCAAGCATATCAATATGAAGACATAGGAATAATCATTTTAAAGTGGCAAAATGTGTATCATAAATAAACATGTTCCTTTCAATTTCAACCATCCCTTAAGGGGACCAAGAAAGTACCCATATCCCCCAAGGATTTACATCACGTGCTCTCCTCATTTTGGGTTAGGGATGTTTCGCTTGGATGGATCGGGTTTGATTCGATCCAATCAAGTAAATCCAAATAAATTTTAGTTTTCAAAACATAGATATGAATAGTCGAAACTAAATTCAAATCTGAATCGATCCAATCAAATTACAATTTGGTTAGATCGGTTTTTATATTTCTGTTTTTAAAAGGCAAAACATTTGAAAAAAATATATAACTTAAATCTTAGTCAACTCTATAAAATAACTACAAAAACTTTTTAATTATGAATATAAACAACTATTAACAAAAATTGATTATAGATTAATTGACAAAAAAAACTTTTGATAAGAAATACATATTAAGTTATTATATTGGATGAAAGTTTTTAATAATTAAAAAATAATTTAGTAAATTTATAAATGATTAAAGATGTGTATCAAAAATAAATAATTTGTTATTCAGTTTTTTTAGACTATTCGGTTTTTATTTTATAAACCAAAATCAATCCGAAATCCAAAATAATAATTTGGTTTAGCTTAAAATCAATTTAAAAATACAAATATCTGAACCAAATAGTCCAATCTAAATTGTCCAATTGGACAATTCGGCTTTAACCAAATAATGAATGGCCCTATTTTGTGTAGTTAAAAATTTAGGAGTGACCATGGGGACCGGATATCCATCTTTGGATCCGGAACCATTGCCTATTCTGGAACTGAAACAAAAAATATATGGTTTCGGTTCCGGTTCTCAAAACTTGAAACTTATTTTTTTTGGAACTTATACGTATTTGATGTTTGTTTTAAAAAAATATATATAAAAGTTTATAATAGATATAGTTCATTTACGTTTTAAAAATTAAAAAAATACTGTGATTTTAACTTTGACAACACTCGTTTTGATCACAATTTAACAATTTCCCACTTCATATATTACCTATTAGTTGACATTAGGTTAGACCAATTATGGTGCTATTTGGATCACTGACAACCACAACAACACATAACCATCACCTTTGCTTAAATTCAACCATTACCATATTTTAGCAACACATAACCATCACCTACGCTTCAATTCCACCATTACCATATTTTAGGTTCATACAAAGCAGAATTTAAACAACATATCCATTCATAAAGCAAGTTTGCTAATAAAACTCCCCATACTAGACTAATAGTCTATACAAAATATACATACTCCTTGCAATTTACACCTTAACAGTTTTAGCACAAAATAATCCCAACCAATTCACAAGAAGGCACTTTCAATCGCTTGCAATATGGGCCCACTATTGAATTGAAAGCTCCTAAAGCTTCGACCTGGGCCCACCTTTTCTGATGAATTTGAAACCGAAACCGAAACCGAAACCGGGTTAGTGTTTGATGGAGTCTCTGTCATCACTAAATTGGTCCCCGAAGAACTCCCCCTTGCCTTCCACACACTCATTGCTTCACAAAAACAAAATCAAGTCAATATAAAATAATTTTATATTCATTTTGACTCTGTTTGGCAAACTAGCTGATAGCTGATTTTGGTTGTGTTTGGCGTGCCACAGCTAGCTTATTTTTCGAGCTTTTTTAAATTATCATGTTTGACAAGCCAAAAAGTAGCTTATAATAGCTTATAAGCTAGCTTTTTAAAAAAACTACTTAGACTAGCTTTTTAGGAGCTTTTTTAAAATTTGCCAAATATACCCCTTAATTAATTATAGAAACACATTCTTTTAAATGTCCTTTTATGTCATTTTACATCTTTCAGCTAGTTTTACCAAACGCCATTTTTTATAGCTAATTTTTCATTTAACAGCTAGTTTTTCAGTTAACAGCTAGCTTTTCAGCTAGTACCCCAAACATAGCCTTAGACTAGCTTTTTAGGAGCTTTTTTAAAATTTGCCAAATATACCCCTTAATTAATTATAGAAACACATTCTTTTAAATGTCCTTTTATGTCATTTTACATCTTTCAGCTAGTTTTACCAAACGCCATTTTTTATAGCTAATTTTTCATTTAACAGCTAGTTTTTCATTTAACAGCTAGCTTTTCAGTTAACAGCTAGCTTTTCAGCTAGTCCGCCAAACATAGCCTTAGACTAGCTTTTTAGGAGCTTTTTAAAATTTTCCAAATATACCCCTTAATTAATTATAGAAACACATTCTTTTAAATGTCCTTTTATGTCATTTTACATCTTTCAGCTAGTTTTACCAAACGCCATTTTTTATAGCTAATTTTTCATTTAACAGCTAGTTTTTCATTTAACAGCTAGCTTTTCAGTTAACAGCTAGCTTTTCAGCTAGTACCCCAAACATAGCCTCAGACTAGCTTTTTAGGAGCTTTTTTAAAATTTTCCAAATATACCCCTTAATTAATTATAGAAACACATTCTTTTAAATGCCCTTTTTATGTCATTTTATATCTTTCAGCTAGTTTTACCAAACGCCATTTTTTATAAGCTAGTTTTTCAGCTATCAGCTAGCTTTTTATTTAACAGCTAACTTTTCAGCTAGTAAGCCAAACACAGCCAAAGTAACAACATTTGGTAAAAACTAACTGATAAGTTAGATTCAAATGTAAAATGACATAAAAAGACATTAGTCGGAAATGAGCATATAAGGGTATATTTGGAAAACTTGTGGAGAGAAAATGAACCTCTAGCAGGTGTATCTGGTTTTGGTGCAATCGGAGGCTGATGTGAAGAAATCCATGATCTCAAAGACCTAATTGAACCCAACTTTCATAAATTAGTTACATGAAATAGATATATGAACATATATTCTATAACATATTTAACACATTTTTAATCTAAAACTTTTTACTTACTTTAAAAATGGAGCAACCATGTAAAGCTTAAGACCAGCTACACTTCGTGATATTACATCTCGATTTGCTGGTTGAAGTTCATCAAGCCTTTGCCATGCAATTTCCTGCAACACATACAAAATAAAAAGGGTTTTTTATTTTTATTTTTTATTTATTTTTGTTATGTAAATCAAAAGATTACTTACACTGATCTCTTTTTTGGTTTGTGGGGCAAATGTTGTATCATCTTTCACACCTCCAACTATGTAAAGTCGCACTCTTTGTGGCCCAAATGTCATTTCAATGAACTCATCTTTGTTAATAAGTTTTGAAACATTAAATCCTGTTTCTTCAAGAACCTGCATCCAATCAAAAAGAAACATTCTTCAAATCTTGAAAAGAGATGATATTATGCAAGAAACAATGATTGGTTTATTTACCTCTCTGATAGCACAAGCATCATCTTCCTCATCTTTGTTCTTTTTCCCTCTTGGAAAACTCCAACTTGTTCCTTTCCATCCTTTTACTAATACACACTGCATACATAACAGATATCAAGGATCAAAGAACAAGATATATCCAAAAGAAAGAAAATATAAGGTTAATTTATAAAACATAATTATACCCTTTCGTATGTTTGATCCAAAATAATTGCCCCTGTTACAGGAACTCGAACCTTGTATGATGTGAAATCTTTGAATATGTCATCTATATGTGGGACATAAGGCTTTAGAACATCACAACTGTTGAACACTATTGCAGGTTTAAGGAAGTCAAGTCATAGACATTAATACCATTAAGAAGAAAAAAAAATAGTAGTGAAGGATACTTAAAGAGGTAAATTCCTTAAGAGTGAAGGATTTCAAAGATGGATTGTTTTCTACGGAATTGTCTTCGTAGAACCAATGTGCATACTCCACAAGAAACAAGATCCTCTCAAATGATTGTTGATCTTCTTTGGGCACATTCAGAACAAAGCGACTGTAATTTCAGGACAAAAGATAATTAGGGTTCATTGTAAGAAATTCGAATGCGTGAATTATAACTTAACTGAAACAAACAACATTACAAGTGTAAGAAATAAAAAAAAATGAAACAAATCCTAAAGCTGGGTATCAGTTTTCAAAACCCTAATTTTAATTCCACAGCATAAAATTCAATCTGATACAGAAACAAACTATATGCATACATATATTAACATGGATACCTGCAGAGATCGTCGAGGAGTTCTTTAGGAGGGATGCCGTCTTTCAAAGGAGCACTCGAAGATCTAGGAAGCCCAGCTGACGACATTTCTTTTACTCTTTTCTATTTGATTTCTTTATTGAGTAACAACTACTACTAGAAGTTACAGTAATTAGTCGGATCGAAGAACCCTAGAAAGAAAAACACAGCACCTGGTGAAAATTGGGAAGTTGCTGCAGATGGAAGTGAGAGAGAAAGTGAAAGAACATGAGGGTAAAAGGGAAATGAAACCCTAACTGGATGTAGTAAGTGATTAACTGATGAACACGATGAAGATCAAGAGGAGCTCTTGAGATTATTGAAGAGAGCTCCCCTCTTCAATTTGGGGGACTACTTTATTAAATACAATAATAATTACTTTTTCAAGCACTACGTTCTAATCATCTTTCAAACGTGTACATGTAACATGTATAGGGCGGTGGCGGATGGCGTTAGAACGTAGATTCACAATCTTAAATAGGAAAATGAAATGACCTATACATTTAACACAATTTTCGGTTTGTATACCCTTAATTTTTATTATTTTTTTCTTGTAAAATAAGTTTTTTAACTTATTGTTTTGTACATATTCGGTTATTATCACCGACTAATATAGGCTAGATTTTTAGTTTGTATACATTTATTCCTTAATGTTTTTTTATGCAAAATAAGTCTTTATTGTTTGTCTATATATTATGTCTTTATGATGATTTTCTTCAGGTTTGCCCACGTGACATCCTACATAGGACAATAATTAATGAGATGT